GGAGTCTAGCCCTAAGATTGTATGTGATTCATTACTTGCATTCTTTTATTTCCTTCATTTTTTCAGGAAAATGCTGATCAGCCGGAGTAAAGCTAATCAAAAGCATCTAGATGCTAAGTTCCAAGGTAATTGGCTAGTTTAGCGTCAGGAAATGTGATTGTTCCTTTTCCCCGTTCATGCACATATTCATAATGAAATAATGCTAATTCTTGCGAAAATTCAGTTTTATTATTGAATGTATATTAACATATAAAATAAAGATTCTTGATGTGCTACTGTGGGTTGACCTTTAGGCAGTCTTGGCTGCAAATTTGAAATAGATTTCCTTTTGTGGAAAGCTAAACACTGATATTCTTTAATCTGTTAGATGTAGGGAGAGTTTGTGTTTGGTTCTATTTAAAAAGTGATTTTTAGTGGTTATTGAGAAAGTGCTTAATAGTAAAAGTTGATAGTATTTTAGAATATAAGTGATTTTAGTGAAAAAGCTGAAGTTAGAGTGTTTGGTAAAGGTGATTTTTGTAGGAATTTTTTATTAAAGTACAAAAGAATCCCTCCAAAACATAATATACTCCGTATATGCTTCAGGAAACCTATCATCCTTGCACTGTAGCAATTGCATCTCTGTGTCTGAGGAGTTGGAGACCTGAGCTAGGGTTTAAGAACCAAGATCCGAAAAATCCTTCAATCCTTGACACATGTTTCAGATTTTCTTCAAATCTCTTCTAGTATTTGAGTTTTGTACTGTTTATCTTCTTTGATTGGGTCATGTGTTTGCAAAAGTCACTTGTGTCTTACAAACGAAATCAGGATAGGGTGATAAGTCCGATAGTTGCTATCAGCACTTGAATTAGATGACAAATATTATTTGATTAATTGCAACTCTTTAGAACAGCAAGACTTTTAAATGGCGTTGTTGGTAAATAATTACATAAGGGAAAGTGCAGAGTCAACGATACTTCCAGAGATGATGCAGTTCAAATGGTGGCGACACTGACTTTAGGAGATGAACTGATGAAGCTATGGAACGACTGAGGGATATGGAGTACGAAACACAGGGTTATAATTATTTCAGGGTATTTTGAGGTTTAGATGGATATTGTTAGCATTATAATTACCCTGAGTCTGAGTTATTTACAAAAAAACGAGAAGCCGTTAAAAGCGGGTATATACCAGCTTCCAGCTTTTAGCTTTGAAGTGCTTTTTAAAAGCAGAAGTAAGTAGTTGAAAACACTAATTTCAGCTTTTTTAAGTCAAAAGCTGAAAAGTGCTTTCTTTAAATTATTGCAAACACTCCTTTACTCTAAGCGTTACTCTATAACTACCAGGTCAAAGGCCAAGTTGTTATTAGGACCAATTAGGAGGTAGTGATCACTGATTACTTTGCACAAATTAGTAATGTTTTAAAAGTATATGCTACAAATTTCTGATAATCTAAATCAAAACTCAACAATTCACAATAACTAACGTAACTCACAGAGCATTTAAAATTTTAAATAAGGTCCCTTCATCTAATCAATCCTAACTTCGTATATCCTTAATTAATCATCATTTGATATATAATCAGCATCTTCATCTCCTACCTCCATGTTGACAAACACATCTTGAGTCGGATTTTGTAGTTTTATGAATTACTAAAGCTTTGAAAACACATTTTATTACATTGAACTCTCTAAGTTTTTTTAGTCCCGTAATGACCCCTTTATTTTCAATCTTTTACATTTAACTATGAGCTAGGTATTTGCTAAGTCACTAAAATTGCCAAGTAACTCTGTTTTTACAGCTGGACTGAATAGTTATACAGCTCGGCAAGGTCTAGATCGGAGTAGCTGCTGTGTTGTGTCCACTAAATGCCTAAATAACATATTTCCTGTACTTTTCTAATCTTGAATTTTCATTGGAATATGTTCTGGTGTTGTGGTATAGAGCAACAAGAGCAGGTGAATGCAATCTATGAAAAATTCAAAGAAGAGCTCAATCAACATCTCCAGGGTTGTAGAAGCACACTTGAGCATCTAGAAGAGCATGAGAGTGAGCTTAAAGCAGCCATTGAAAAGCAAAGTATGTCAAGATCTTTAATATTGTTTATAATATTTCATGGGCTATAGAAGCCCATTCATCACAGAATTGGATGGTTTTTATGGTGGCCTATCAATTTAGGAGTTAATCCTTAGCAATTGCATTTGCCATTAATGGCCATGCGTCCTTTTTAGGCTTGTTGATGCGGTTGTATAGATGGTACCATTTATATAGAACGGCTACTGTTTTTCAACTTAATGAATACTTAATATGTATGTGAGGCTTACCCTGAGAAGAGAACCTTTTGGATGTTGCAGAAGTAGCAAAGAGAAAATTACTCATGCAACTGGAAGAAGAAATTCAAAGTCAGCTTGTTGATGCTCATAGAAGAATTACTGATGTCCACCATGTAAGTTTCTTTCACTGAAATCTGGATATATACCTTTTGGGTGTGAGGCAGGTAAGAAGTAGCCTTCCCATGAAACATGGAAAAGTGAAACATTCAAAATGATGTATGTGCTATTATCATATCACGGTTGCACTTTTAAGTCTCAGGTGTTCACTTTTCAAATGAACATGGTGGTAGAAGTTGCAGTTAATTACAATGTTGCCGTAGATTCATACTGCTCATGCTTTATTTATTGATCACCATAACCTTGTGCGCGTGCTCTTTCGAACTATATGATTTAATGGGGTATTTTAAATTTAAAAGAAAAATCATATGTAGTCGCTTAACTGATCAATATCAGCATAAAATACTATTTTTGCAAACAACTACAAGATTTCTTTATCTGAAGCTTAACAAGCATCTTAGATTTTCCCTGCCGTACTTGGGTACCTGTATTATAGATCTTGGATCCCCAATAATCCAATATCATCTGTGCACTTGAGAAACATTTTACTCGATATTTGATATCTTGAATCTTTTTAACTGCTGCAGTTGGCTAGAGATAAGATGCATCAATTGAAAGTTGTAGTAGCAGAATGTTTCAAGCTCAGTTGAGAGTTGAGACTAACGGTTTGATAGATGGTATCATAGTACAGCATCTCAAGTTGGGCAACACACCAAAAAAGTGTCGATTATTTTTTTCCCAATGCATGAAGAACGTAGCTTTTAGAATATACTACGTTGTGTAGAAATACATTCCAAATATTACGTCGCTGTTTGGAGATTAGTGGGTTCTGGTAAAGCAGCTTTACATTAAACTACTTATTCTGCTCAATCGAATGTTCATTTCTAGCTTGCAACGTGTATTTTGGGATCTACAAGAAACCGAGCAAGTCTATTAAATTTGTGCACATGAGAAAAGGAGAAACATTTATTTGTACCAATGTTTCTCAAGTGCACATCAGATCCGTATGTTTTATATCTTGCTGTGTGTTTGTTCATTTTTGCTGCTAGTTTTATTAATATTCACAAGCCACAACAAATGCCAGTCTACATTGTATTACAAGTTACAACAATGTATGCATTTAACTATGTAAGACTTGTAAAAGTGTTGGGCAAAACTTAGGGGGACCTGGGACTCAGATTCGTACTGGACAGGAATTGAGTGGTTAAAGATGTACTCCGTATACTATTGCCTGTTGGCCCGGATTCTCGGTTTTGTACAGGAACCACTTCCCGGAACCGGTCCAAATTGGTTTTTGTTTTGGTTCCTCCAATTCCAAATAAGGACAGGAACTAGATGACTTCAATGACATTTTCTTTATACTACCTACCTCTCCTTCTTTTTAATTGCAATAGTCAACTTTTCACGTTTGCCGACATACAAGTTTGACCATTATTATTTTTCATCCTTATTAGTAAAAAAAATTAAAAAATTCAGATTTTAAAAATTTCAAGTGAGAAGAATTTAACAATATTTTTTAAAAATTTAATTTATAATATATTAATAAATAAAATATAGTCAAATTAGAATATGTGAATAATGCAAAAATTCCAATGTTGCAATCAAAAGAAAATGGGTGTAGTATTAGTTTTTAAAAATAAAAAAAAGTAATTGCCCCATATAGGACTAAAAGAGGAGAAAATATCAAATAGGATCATGTGTGATTTTTTCCCTAAATATGACTATTTTACTCCTATTTGGAAACATCCGTATTTTTCATTCAATTATTATCCCCTTATCCCTTTTATGTTTCCCCCGTGCACAACTGCTTCCCCACCCCCCTTCTTCCTGCGCACATCTTTTCCTTTCTTCCCTGCGCTCATCGATCGACTTCACCCTAACCATCGCCGCCGCCGTCGACTTCGCCTTGCGCACTAGATCCATCGACTTCTCTTTCACGCCGCCGCTGCTGTTGATTTAATCGTGCGCCACTGTCATTAAGGTCCTCCTCCTCCTCCTCCTCAGAATATAAATTGGTTTTTCTGATTTTTTTTGTCAATAGCTTCGTTTTTCTTCTTTCCGATTGTGCTAAAAATTTATTCCATCAAAAAAATTAGTTGTTTGAATATTTGGTTATTACTTCATGTTTTTCAATTTTTGCCAAATTTATGACATTTTTGTGTTAATATTCCAACATGAATCTGCCAACTCTTTGGCAGATCTGAAACTCTTTAGTATGGCATATGTGAATCGATTCCTAACTCTAAATCTGCCAAGATAATGACAAATTTATTCTGTCTGAGTTGTTACGATGGTGGTGATGCTCAGCGGATGGTGTTGGTGGTGGATGACAACGCCGGTCAGATGGCGACGCCGGTGCGGGAAGCGGCAGCGGCAGCAAGCGGAAAGCGACACCGTCATCGGCGAGGACAGCGGCAGAAAGCGCCGACGAGGGCGGCGACAGGATGCACCGGCAAAGGGCGGCGGCGGGCCATTTGGATCTTGCAGTGGCAGAAATTTAAAAGAGGGGTAGTTTTGTCCAATTGGGCTGAAATTGGTTCTACAAAACTTGAGTTTCTTTTATAGTCCTAGATGTGCAATTAACTTTGATATTAGTCCTATTTGAGTCATTAACTCAATAAAAAATTCACACGATAAACTTCCAACTCATGCGAACGCAATATTTTCTAAATCCCTATGCAATACACCCCTAAATCAATCTATGGTCCTGTGAAATCCCAATATGAGTGGGGATGGCAATACAACTGAATAATGACTATGATGATGATAAAGATATCGAGCTTCCATTTCCCAACAGAGTGCCATTTCCCTCCTCCGGGGCGCCTGTTGCCGTACTATTACAGTGTACGAACCTGTTACCATTCCCGCTCACCTCCCGCTCCGATTTCTCACGGAAACAATAACCTTGGGTATCGGAGATATCCACCGGCCAAATTTGGTTCTTCTGCAACACGGACTTCGAAGGCTTCTCCAAAAGACATTGAGATTTCGTGCTCGGATGGTTTGTTCTCTGAGGTGTTCGGAGAAGCTGCCCGGAATGATGGTATCGATGTTGTGATTGAAGAGACGGGTACAAATCAACGCACGATTAGATCCAAAGTTGTCGTGAATGCCAGCCTTGACACTGTCTGGAACGTCCTCACAGATTATGAAAGACTGCCTGACTTCATTCCTGGTCTGACAGTCAGCCAGTTGCTTCAGAAGCAGCCCAATTTTGCTCGTCTTTTCCAGGTATCCTTTTCTCTATCTTCAATTATCAACTCTTTAATTCCGGAGTGATAGTGCCGGCGGCTTCTGTGACTCTGGACTCTGTCCCTTTTTGCTGGATCAACGTGCCACTGTGGGCCCAAGCCAAACATGAATGGAGTTATGGAGATAGGAGTGTAGGATAAAGGAGGTGAGGGAGGTATCCCCTTATCACCAAGGAAGAGGTCCAGCTTAGGTGGTCACTAGTCCCGACCCCCGGGTAAAAAAAGAGGTATCACCTTAGTCTTCCTTTGTTTGGGAAGCATAATACATAGAGCAATTGAGGTAGCTAGATGGGCGGGCAACCTAGGGAGATAACCTCTCCAACCTAAAACATTACTCTGTATTATGTATCTCAGTTTTCTTCATCCAAATAGCATTTTATACATGCTTGCCACTTGACGTGTTCTGAATATTATTTCTCCATACATTAATGTTACGACTGGTTTTTTTCTAATAAATTTTACACATCTAAATTCACTATCAGGATCTTGTCCTTCATCCAAAAATGGAAAGTTAGAATGAGAAGAGGCACATTTGAAGTGGGTACATCCCTCTTGGAAAAAAAAATCATCAATGTGCAAAGATGACTTACTTGACCCTCCAGGCTCCAAGGTCCATTTTGTAGGAGAAGGTTTCATAGGACCTAATCTCTATTTTACTAAATAGAATTTTTCTAAAAACGAATAAAAGGTTAAAGATGTTTACAATTTTACAATATCGGATGTTATTTTAATCTTTTAATTTTTTTGAAATCTCAAACAAGTATCAAGATATAGACTAACCCTCCAAAGTGCCCCCTTCAAAAAACCTCCATTCAAACAAACCCAATAGGATATTCCGGTTTTACTATCTACTATTGATCACCTCATGATATCATAATTGCAAAGTCAATACTAAATTTTATTTCCTTTTCCTGAAAGGTGATGAATCATAGTATCAAACACATCAAACACAATGAATATTTCTTCAGTTCTTCTTTCTTATTAAAGCCAATGAACCACTATTGAATGCTTTTATGGAATTATTATTGGTGCTTACTTATACTACATACAAAATATGATTTAAATATTGATACACTAAGCCTTTCTTACCACTTCTGAAACACAACAGATTGGAGAGCAAACCTTTTTATTTGGGCTGAAACTTGATGCTAAAGGTGTTATAGATTGCTATGAAAAAGAACTCCAAATTCTTCCACATGGCCGAAGGCGCGATATTTACTTTAAGATGATAGAAGGTGATTTTCAAGTCTTTGAAGGAAAGTGGTCGGTGGAACAGGTATATGCCCTTCCTTCGGTTTGGTATATTCGGCATCTATTATTTTTAATCTTTCAATTTGAGTTTGTGGCTCTTGCAATTTATTGACCATTAGACAATCAATTGAGAGTTCTGTTTTTATATCTAGCTTGTTGCCTCTTTATTTTCTATTGGCCCCCTTGTGTTATGGGGTATTACCAGTTATATGTGTTCCCTTTAATTAAAGGTCTCTATTCAAAGAGTTTGGATCAGAATTGTAATTGACCATATCTGTGTTGCTTTTCCTGTGGTATATTAGTATATAGTTGCTGTCACTGCTGGTAGAAAAATTTGATAAATTGTTGTAGAGTTGAGCTCAACTGGCTGAGTGCTTTGGATGTTACAGTACAATACTTGTGGAGACAGACCTTGTGATACTGCATTATGCCAAGAATTATGGACAACTCTTTTATATGCAGTTCGTGTGGAGCCTAAGTTATGGTTGCCTGTACGACTTCTTGAAAGCAAACTTAGTGAAGAGATAAAAGCCAACTTATCTAGTGTTCGAGAAGAAGCACAAAGAGTATGCCATAGCAATCATCCATCAGAGTAGGTGCTTTGTTCTTTTCCCCACATTTGTGATGAGTTTATCTCCACCTGTTTAGTGGTGCCGCCAAGCCTTGGCCTGGCATGTGATACTCAAAAGCTACTCGGGAGTCTCAATGCTTATATATGATGCACATTTGGACCACGTTGCTGCGGATCTGGTCCACATGCCGCATCGAGGAAGGGCCGTCTGAGAAAAAAAGACCCTTGTGAACTCAGCTTTAGAGGAATTTGGGATGTGTGTGAGGGTGTGTTTGGGAGTTTGCACATAATAGCTTTGCATGCAAAGTAATAGCATACAATTAGGGTTAAACAAATCGAATCGAGTTGAATAATGTGATTTTGTATTTGTATTTGTTTAATTTATTCGAATCCGAATCCGGATTCGAATATGAAACGAATATTTATTTCGATTTGTATTTGTTTAACAATACGAATAGTCGAATAGTTAACGAATCATGTATGAATATCGAATCGATTCGAGCATAAGTTCCTATATTTTTATGTTATAAATGCATGTTATGAGTTATGACTTAATATGTGTTTTTAGAATTTGATTTGTATCATTACATTTTCTTAAAAATTAATGGATCAATGCATTTTTAGATTATGTACAATATAATAAAATAAATCAATTTTATGATTTTTAAGTATACATCTATTTCAAACATTTTGAAATAAACATTAACACACATATTAGAAATTATACTTGTTAAGATAAACTACCCCGGCCTACCACTATTTAGGAGCCCAAGACATTACTTGGCACGGAGGCCGGTCGGTGAGGCCCATTCCGGCCATCCGATGCACTTTGCCTCAAAAGGGCCACCTTGGTCCGTTGGCCCATTAGGGTGGAGTGCACTTCCTCCCCCTTTGCCTATAAATAGGGATGGACTCGGGTCCGGGCCGGGTCCGGGTCGGGCCTAGGCCCGGGCGGGCCGGCGGTTCAGAAGTGGTGGACCCGAGACCGGCCCGGGTAACCACCGGGTCCGGGGCCGGGCCGGGCCCATTATCAATTTTTTTCCCCTCTTCCTAATTAACCCCCCTCCCACCCCCAACCCCCAAACCACCCCAAATGGCCCAAAATACCCAGCCCAACCCGAAAATTTAAAAAAAATTGAAAAAAAAAATAGTTTTGGCCCGAACCGGGCCCGGCCGGGTCGAGCCTTGTTTTGGGTGACCCGAGCCCGGACCGGAAAACCCACGGGTCAGGCCTACCCGGACCGGTCACTGACCGGGCCACCGGGTCGGGCCGGGCCGGAACAGTACTGGTCCCGGGCCGGTTCCGAGTCGGGCCACCCGACCCGAGTCCATCACTGCCTATAAATAGGAGGACTTCCCTCCTTATTAGGGACCTTTTCTTCTCCCCCCCTCTCTTTAACTAGTTAATACTCTATTAATGGGAGCTTGTACATTGTAATGTGAGAAGAGCATTAATAAAATGAGAGGGCTTGGACATTAGCCTAAAAAGTCCTGTGGTTTTCTACCTTTCCAGGTTTCCACGTAAAAAACAGTGTGTTCATACCAAATTATATCGATATTTATTATATCGTATTGGATTAAACTCAACAATACTTATAGTGTGTGAAATAAGTTGGTAATTGTGTATACCCAAGTCAAATGACTTTAATTTTAAGTTGATATATGTATAAGCGAATATATTTAATTATTCTTTGAATTGAATACGTAATTATTTGTATTCGTAATTGAAAGATATTTGAACCAAAAAATTGATTTGTATTTGTACTTATATTATATACTTTTGAATCCAAACCACGAATCGTATTAAAATTATTTGCTTCATTTACAACCCTTACTAGATATGATACTTCTGATTTATTACAAATAGGATTGAAATTTGTATACGTAAATGTATATATGGACTACACTTTGCGGGTATAGCTATCTTTTAATAATTATTATAATGTTATCACTATTTTATTATTATTAATATTATCACTATTATTTATCGAATATATTTGATTAACATTCGAATCAAATACACTGATATTCTTATTTGTATTTGATAACAATTCGAATCAAATTTAGTATTCTTATTTGTATTTGTATTTGAATTTTTCGAATTCCAATAGCCTTAGACAAATTCGAATTGCGAATCGAGCATAAATTATTTGATTCGTTTACAACCCTAGCTGGTGGCGAGCGGTGAGCCGCGTTGTTGGTATGAGCCTCCAGTGGCGAGGAGCAGCAGAGCTCGAGAAACTGGGTTTCTTCAACAGGTGGCGAACCACGAGAGGTACGTGCGGTAGAGGACTTCGTCGTTGATGGAGATGGACGACCGATCGACATAATGGAATGATGAAAGATGAATTCCGACGACTCCTATGGCGGGAAGGAAAAGGGAAGGCTAGGGTTAGACTTACGTGATGATAACAAATAGGATAGAGTACAAAGAATTGTTAGTAGAGTTTCATTACAAAAGCCTCTACAAATAGGAATAAATAAGAGTTTAAAAGTATGAAACAATAGGCATATAATACATAATTCACAGACCAAACCTCTTATACGTATTCTATCTAAGAGATAGTTAGATTCCACATTAATGACATTTTAATTTTTTTTAGGGAGAACTACCAAATAAGTCCTCGAACTTTCATACAAAGTGCAAATAAGCCCTTTTATAGGAGGCTCTGTCCGCCCGTCGCCATTTGGGGCGGTTTCCGGTGGCATTTTTGGATGAATTTTTTTTAGCATCTTCTTCATTAAGTCTAGTTTACTCATACCAAATTTCAGCTGAAAATTCAATCGGGAAGACAGTCAAATGAATTTTTGAAGATAACTGCGGAGTTAGACAGTGCAGTATACTTTAGAAAATCATTTGACTGTCTTCTCGATTACATTTTTACCTGAAATTTGGTATGGGTAAACTAGATTTAATGAAAAAGATTGTCAAACAATTTCATCAAAAAATTCAATCGGAAACCGTTCCAAATGACGATAGAAGAACACAGTCTACGGTAAAAGTTTAAAAGTGAGATGTTAATTGAGATAAGTTACCTGTAGCCTGGTTATGAGATGAACTGCTGCTCTTCTCCAAGTGCAGACTTGGAACTGCAGGGTTGAAAGGTTTAAGAGATGAAGGCGGGGAGGAATTTCCGCAAAAGGAGTTTCGTCGATGAAGAGGAAGACGACGAGCAAGGCAGGAGGTATGCCCATTACTCAAATTGTGTTATTCGATTGAGATCAGACCCCTTTCCTTTCTCTATTTATATTTTAGGGTCCACCCGCTCATACACACTATTATCTATGTAATAATAATATCATCCAGATCTGCTTTAGAGGAGGTCAAATTTCTTCAGAAACAGAGGGAAAAGAAGTTGGGAATTCCCGCCATTCCTACCGCAGCGCAACCTGCTCCAGGCGGTGGTCCCGGCGTTTCTAGCAATGGGATTACTGGTGGGTCAGCCTCAAAGCCAGTTAGCGACAAGGGAGAAGGAGATGTCGAGAAGGATGACCTGGTGTTGCAGGATACCTTCGCACAGGAAACTGCAGTCATGGTCGAAGATCCCAATATGTAGTTCTATCTTAAATGTCCATAGCTGCACTTTTTTCTTCACATTCTTTCGAGTGCACACGTTTTGTTTACTGTGCATATATTCCTTATTTATAACCAGTTTTTATATGAGTTCTTACTATTGATTCTTTGCAAACCTCTATCTTTGATTGAAATAGGCTCTATATGAAAGCGCTCAAGTCTTTTTATGCCTCGTGTTGTAGGTTGAGATACATTGATCAGGCATTAGCTAAGAAACGGGGCAAGGATATTAATGTAACAAATGAAGCTGATGGTGAAGTAAAGGCTGCTGATGATGAACTGTACCAGATTCCAGAGCACCTTAAAGTAAGCACTGTATTCTGCCTGTCAGCTTTATGTGTGCCTGTGACTTTTATTTTAGAAGAAGTTCTGGGGGAATTAGTGTAATGTAATTCCAGTGCATTCACCTATCCCACAAAATCTATATTTTTTAAACTCCTTAATCGTCCATCTAAGACCCTATCTGAGTATCTGATGCCTGTCCAATTTCCTGAATCATTTAATTTGGTCATTTTACACTCATGTTTAGTTGTGGTGCCCCTGGTCCTTAGGTAAAGAGGCGGAACTCAGAAGAAAGCTCTACTCAATGGACAACTGGGATAGCCGAAATTCAACTCCCCATCGAGTATGTTTGCATTGCTTTTTGATAAACATAAAATAGCTATAACTTGCTTGCATAGTTTCTAAAAGTATAATTCAACAAGATGAATTAAGAACTCTAATTGTTCAATGGAAGTGGCTATCCGTTTGCTTCGAAGAGATTGCTTTGCACTGACTGCTTGTTGGTTCAAAAGATGTGTGAGTGGGGAGGAGAAATTTGGAAAAGGTTGGGAGGGGAGGAAAATGGAAGAGTTTTAGAATTTTCATGTTTAAGTGGATAGGAGTTTATATTTTAGAAAAACATGTAAACAGTTTCTCATCATAAACTAAATTAGCCCCTCTTTATTGATATATACAATATGGATTTTAAATGACTTTTATAATAGGGAAAATTAATAATAATACCCCAAACTTTGAATGGGTGTGAGGTAAACACCCCTAACTTGCATATGCAATTTAAATACCCTAAACTTTAAATAAAAAGTTATTTTTACACCATTTTCATGTATTATTTCTTTCAAAAATGTAAATGTATGGGTTTAATTGCATAATTTAAAATAAAAAATTAAAAGTTTTGCAATTATATAGATTGGGGGTAACATTATTTATTTCCTAATGGAAGTTTAGAATGTTAATTGTGTCTTCATGAACTCTAAAATATTTTAAATCATGCAATTAACACCATACACTTACATTTTTGAAAAAAATAATACTTGACTATGGTGCTAAAATAACTTTTTATATAAAGTTTGGGGTATTTAAATTACATATGCAAGTTTGGGGTGTTCATCTCACACCCCTTCAAAGTTTGGGGTATTTTAATTAATTTTCCCTTTATAATAAGCTATAGATGAACTTCATAGTGACTAAATAATCCCTTAGACACTACAATGACCTAATGAAAAATAAAGTATGATAAAGATAACACTATTCATTTTTAATCTAATGTTGTCTTATATTTTTTTGTAAAATATTCTTTCAAAATTACGGGTTAAAAGAGATTTTCCTAATGAAATCGCTTTTAATCTTACCTGAAAAGTCTTTCTTTTCCAAATGTTTTTACGAATACGCTTTTTTTGGAACTGCCATTTTAAAATTAATAACTTGTTTACAAAAGGGAGGTTCATTATTTGAACTGGTCTCCATTTTCTTCGAATGGATCTCTTAGCTGTTGAAACATGAACCATATACCATGTAGGACGTCATGTTGTATTCACTTGTTTACATTTTATCCAGGAACTTGTTCACAAATACCATAATGTAAGCCATATGTTTGACCCAATAGGATCATCCAGTTCCTATAGAACCGATAACTAAAACACTCCTCCATGGGGAATAAGTCTACGGGGAACGAAAAGGGCTTCCCGTGATACGTTAATTGAAACTTATTAGCCCCATATGAAGTTTGTGGACATGTCATTGTCTAAGAATGAGCAAGTAATATCCGTCTTTCTACCAAAAGTAATATCTGTCTTTCTATCAAAAAAGATGTATTCAACTCATAATTCATTAGACCCTTTTGATGAATGTCAACTAAGTATCATAAACAAATTGCTCCCAGTTGTTCAAGCATTTGATGACCCGAGTCATAATATGGTTAATCCCGTTTCCTATAGGACTCAATGAGTTCCTATACACAAATAGGACTACTTTTTCTATTATTACCCCTAATTCCTTTTATTACACTACCCAAAAGCCTAACCATGACCACACTGACCCCCATTGTGCTCCTCTTGTTTAAAATACCATGAAACTGCGATGTGTCGAAGGGATGCGTGGTAATGTTTATCCTTTAGCCTCATGATCTTCACCATGTATTACGAACAAGGACGAAAAATCTTATCTCCTGTTTCTTTTCTGATGACCATGGAGCTTCAGATGTTGAAGTGATATGCTCTGTTTAAATCTTGTTCCTGCCCCCCTCTAGCAACCTACTTTGGAATCTCCACTGGGATTCATAGAGTTTGGCTGTGTCCACCTGCGTTTTCTAATGGGGGCATCTATATCAGTTTTATCTGGTTGAAATTATGAAGGCTATTAAAGCCAACAACTGGTGGCTACCACTTCGTTTTGCTTCCCACTGGGTCATTTGGGGGAAAAAGGGCCTTCCGCTCTTTAACAGTGGAAATAATTTAATACCACTAAGCTTGGGGATAAAATTAGTCCTCCGTGGTTGTTTTGGTGATTTTTTTATAGTAATAGTATGTTGGGGCTTGTTTATGTCACTCTTTTGAGGGGACATCGTGAGTGACTGTGGTTACAGTGTCAGTCAGTGAGTGGTGGCAGAGAGCGTGTTTGCAGAGGATATAATGGCAATGTTACTAAATGGGGCAATGTTAGGGTGTGGTGGTGAAAGTAATCTAGAATTGGTGGCGGAATCTGGAAGTGGTGGCCATATGTCAGGGGCAAATGGAGTTGGTGATGGTGGCAAGAGTTTAGCAGGGACATCTACAAATTGGTGGTGCTGGGTGGAGTCTGGCAGGTGGCTAGAATCCAGTGGTGGTGGCTGGAGTATGGCATGGTGGACTGGTTGGAATTTGTCTATATTTTAAAATTGTAAAAACCATAACTATTGTTAATATATCATCATTCTATTTAAATAAAACCAAACCAAAACAATCTATGTAAACAACCTATCAAGATTCCTCCAACCAAACAAATGTCTTAAACTGGACATGGAGGAGAGGAATTCACTTCTGAAGTCTATAGCCATTGCTATTAATATGTTCTTCACAATATCACAATATGTTTGTTTGTGGTCTGCTAGGTACAAACTTAAGAATATTGAAGACACAGAGGCAGCCAAAAAAATCCTACAGGAGAAGAGATTTACTGGTCGGACCAAAAGCAACCTTAGCATTACATCAAGTTATACTGCGGACTACTTTCACCGTGGCAAGGATTATGCTGAGAAGCTTCGGAGAGGTTAGTTGCAATTTGCTAATTGAGAAAAATCCATGCTGTAGAACTCTACATGAATTAATTACCACCAAAGCACCAATTATATAATATGTGCATGCATATTACTATTTTAGAGGAAGCTTATAAAGAGGAAAAAAATGAATATACTTTTTTGTTTTACATATTTTGATAGTATAAAGCTTTATCTAGATTCCTATAATTAAATGAGTCCATGATGGGGCACATTTAAGTGTAAGAACATCATTTTGTTTCTTTTTTGAAGCTCATCCTCAATCAGTGTATGGTAAACGCTATGTCTCCACAGGGAGTCTTGCATAACATTTTCCATTAATGTACGTTACTTCACGTTTGTGCATGTGCTATCTTCTTATGGTGAACATCATCTTTTTCTTCAGAACATCCGGAGTTGTACAAGGATACAAATGTTGTGGACAATAGCACTGAATGTAGTAGAGCTAGTGATTCTGTTGCGGCAGATGGAGCAGGTAGAAGACAAGCGGCTACTGATGAGTTAATGCTTGAGCGTTTCCGAAAACGAGAACGCCATCGTGTGATGAGGAGATAATAAAGCATGTGAATAACTTGTCATTACCATTTGGACTTGCACATTAACTGTAGCACTACAAGGGCTGTAGTTCCATTCCATATACATCTGGATAAGCATTACTTGTAGCCTTGTAGGGGGTGTCATGATGAGCTGTTTTCATCTTAATCTGTACAAATATTCCAGGATAAGATGTATCTGGTCTCAAGTGGATAGCTTTATTTATCTTTCTATTATACAATAGCTTGTAATGCTGTGGGATCTACCTTTCCAAGAGAATTTGTATCAAGCCAAAAACTCAAAATGATTATCAAAATACAAAATCCACATTTTAGAAACCCACCACCAATTTGAGGAAGCGTTTGAAAACAGGAAAGAACAACTGTTCTTCATGTGTAAAGAAATCTTCCAAAAAAGTCCATACTTTTGTTTTTTGGTGAAAATAACTTTATAGTAGTGCAAGAACCATTGAGCTGCAATGCTCATTTTTTCCATACTTTTGTAAAAACAGTGCAAGTGTGTAAGCCTGATAGGGGTGGACTCGGGCCGGGCCAACCGGCCCGGAACTGGACCGGCCCGCCACTGTGCGGGCCTGGACCGGCCCGGGAACCGGTTCGTTGGGCGGTTCGGGCCACCCGGCCCGGTGGATTCTCGGTTCGGGCTCGGGCCCTTCAAAAGGTGAACCGGCCCGGCCGGTTCGGGCCCGTGCCGGGCCAATTTTAATTTTTTTTTTGAATTTTTTTTGAGTTTTTGGGTTGGGCTGGTTATTTTGGGCCATTTGAGGTGGTTAGGGTTGGTTTGGGGGTGAGGGGGAGGGGTGGGGGTTAACTAGGAAAAGCCCAAAAAAAAAAAAAAATATACCCGAGGCCCGGCCCGGCCCCGGGGGTTACCCGGGCCGGTTCCGGGCCTCCCCTTCTTGAACCGAGGCCCGGCCGGGCCCGGGCCCGAACCGGCCCGAGTCCACTCCTACAGCCTGAAGCAGAGGATTATTCCATAATCCATATAGGTTCTGGGCGGAGCACCGTTGATTTGATTTCAGAGTATGTCATATATGCGAGTATAGTGTCCCTGGGCCGTTAGTTATTTTTTCCTTTGAACCAACTCATCTATTGAGCTGAAATGTACTACCTCCGTCCCTTAAAACTTTGCCAAAGTTGACCGGTACGAAGAATAATAAAGTAAAAATTGTGTGGTTGAGGTTTGTGTAGAAGAGAGAGAAATAACAGAAACCACAAAATAATTGATTAAAAAGGAAAATGACAATGTTTTTTGGGACATCCCAAAAAGGAAAGATGACAAAGTTTTAAGGGACGGAGGGAGTAATATAATTGGGCTGAAGAAGTTAACCAGCTTTGACCGTGTAGCTGACTGGCTATGAGCCTATGATCAGACAGTTGACTGAGGTGTTGACCCGAGCAGTCAAACAAGAGGTGACCGCCGGCGTTAAATCAAGGGCCCTTGTTTTCTTGTACTACCTCCATCTCGGAATTATCTCCTTATTTGACTGAGCACGAGTTTTAAGATAGTGGGAAATGTGTGGTGAAGAGTTGTGCAGAGGAAAGAGAAATGTGTAAGAATGATTGTGAACCACAAATTCTTTGTCAAAAAAGGAAAGAGGAGATAAATTTGGGACGGACCGAAAAGGAAAGAATGAAGATAATTCCGGAACGGAGGGAGTAATTAGTACTTTAGTACTCCCTCTGTCTCACAATGAACTTCACAGTTTGACCTACACACATACTTCCTCCGTTTTTTAAAAGTTGCAACATTAGGATATTTGCACTATTCACACATCTTACTTTGACCACGATTTTCTATTAATATATAAAATCAAATTATTATGTATAAAATGTCATTATATTTCTATTGATGTGAATTTTCAAAATATTAACTTTTTATAATTTTTACTAATACGTAATTAGATATAATTAAAGTCAAAGTTGTGCATTGGCAAACGTGAAAGTCAAACTGTTGCAACTATTAAAGAACGGAGGAAGTATTAAGGAAATAAACTTATCATGGGGTAAATTTAACTGTTTTGACACTGTTTCGACACTTTTTGGCACTGTTTTGCACCATTTTGACACTGTTTGGCACTGTTTTGCACTGTTTGACACTGTTTTGATGTAGATTAACTTGCCATTTAAGAAAATGAGAACTTGTTTCTGGGACATCTAAAAAAGAAAAGTGGGAAGTTCATTGCGGGACGGAGGAAGTAGTTTTGAATGAGATTACTTAACGTCCTAGTGTTAAGCCCACATGCCCTGGTAGTACGTCAAATCGATATGAGTTAAAATGAAAAATACTACAATATGTAATACTTCCTCTATACCGAAATAAATGTCCTACTTTCCTTTTCGGTCCGTCCCAAAATAATTGTCTTGTTTCCTTTTTTGGAAATAACGAGTGGCTCATATCAATTCACATTTTTCTACTCAAATCTCAACCACAACTTTTACCTTTTCAACCACTTTCTTAAAACTTGTGCAAAAGCAAACAAGATAATTAATTCAGGACAGAGAGAGTAATAGATATTGTGAATTATTTGTAAGATCTAAAGGCGAATATAATAAGTTTTATTATGAACTAACCACAACTAATTGAATTATCCATCATCATATATTATATATATTTAAACTTTAGTCTATATTAAAGTTTTAATTTGCGGTCATTGTTGCGGTCACGATAGTGGCTATTAAGCTTGTTGTGATGATGTGTATTATGACCGATGCAGTGTGAATTGTTTTTACGTTCAAACGAAATTAAAAAAAGTAGTGTTGGGGTTTTGGTGCACCCCAATGCGGTCGATGCGGCCTGATGCGACTCGATGCTGTCCATTGCGGATTTTTCCCGTGCATTAAAATCTCTTCGCCATTGCGGTCCAATGTAGTTGCGATGCACACCACAATATTGTGGCACACCAATCGTGGTCCGCAATTTAGAATTATTGTCTGTATTTGTTTTCCACTAGTTTTTGTTACTTTCTCCGTCCTATTTACTACGTAGTATTACTTATTAAATGTGGAGTTTTTTCCCAGAATAATACCAAATAAAAAAATATTTCTCAAATTAAGATTAGGTTAAAAATATTTCTCAATATGCTGTTATGGTTAACTTGAGTTACCGCAGGACAAAGGGGTGAACAATAGTCCTGGGTCCCACTACTAATTAATTTCCTTCTTTTTTAAAAGTGCAATAACTTTTTTATTTTTATTCCAATTGTTATAAAAAATATATCATCATTTATAATTTTTTATTATCTTTCATATGACACCAATATTAAATATATAAAATAAAATGATAATAACTCACTTTAAAAGAATAAATAATTTTTAAAATGATATAATTTTTTATTTGTATCCCAATTGTTACAAAAATATATCAAAATAAATATTTTTTTGATCTCTTATATGACACCAATATTACATATATATATAAAAAGTAATCTAGCACTTTAGAAAATTCATGTTTTTAAAATGCTATAACTTTTTAATTTATATTGCGATTGTTACAAAAAATATTGAAATCTACAACTTTTTATTATCTTTCATATGACACCAATTTTACATTTATAAAGTAAAAATAATAATTTAGCGCTCTTAAAAACTCCTGTTTTCTAAAGTGTTAGAATATACTTCTATTTTGTACTACTGTTATTACAAAAATATACTCCGTATAAAAATTCATAACTTTTATGATATTTCACATAACACGAATATTATTATTATTAATTTATGTTTTATTTTTTTAATGAAAAGAAAGCTTTATTGAGAAAATAAGCAAAATACAAACGCTAGTTGTGCAGAAACGGAAAAAGCTTAATGAGGAAAACACACATGTAAATGATTAGTAATCTGTGTTGGAGTAGTTGAGCTGGGTTCGCTGTTGTGTATGCAGCGTGGTGTTGGGCAATCATGCTTGCTGCTTGGTCTCAATAGTCCTAGGTATTGATTCATTGCGTCTTTTGGATTTATTTTCTGAAAACAACAACCGTGAAACCTTCTTCTTCCGATGGTATATGAGCCACTCTGTTTAATCGTTGAACCAAATTAATTTGTTTTTCGTAGGCCTTTTGTTGCATTTTGTGACCAAGCTCTTTTTGAAACAATTGAAATTCAGGTTTAATATTGGCAAGATAGTTATGATAATCCTCTTTTGATTCATCTCCAACTGTCGCTTGATCAACAATCCCGAAATAATCATCCTGGTTTGACCTTCACACAGATTAAGAAAGTGAAGTTGACATCACACTGTAGTGAGACTGTTTGGCACTGTAGTGACACTGTTTGGCACTGTAGCGACATTGTTTGGCACTGTTTTGCACTGTTTGACATTGTTTTATATAGATTTGTTTACCAAATAAGGAAAGGAGACAATTATTTCGGGACGGATCGAAAAGGAAAGCAGGACAATTATTTTGGAACAGGGAGTATCATTTTGTCTCATCACTTCAATAGAATCTAAATCTTATATGACCTCTTCCAACTTCTTCTTTATGATCAACCGTGGCTGATAAACAGAAACTTGAGTCATCTTCTCTAAATTCTTCTCTAAAATTAATTCTATTAATGTTATACCTAAAATTAAGACTCTAAAAGTATAAATTCTATTAAATCTATTAATAGGATTAATTTTATAATCATATATATGTAATATTCATGTCATGTGAAAGATAATAAAAGTTATGAATTTTTATGTATTTTCTGTAATAACAGGAGTAGTACAAAATAGAAGTAATATTCAGAGTAACACTTTAGAAAACAAAAGTTTTTAAGAGCACTGAATTATTATCTTTACTTTTTAAATATAAAATTGGTTTCATATGAAAGATAATAAAAAATTTGTAGATTTAAATATTTTTTTTAACAATCGCAATACAAATTAAAAAGTTATAGCATTTTAAAAACATAATTTTTCTAAAGTGCTAGATTACTTTTTTTTTTATATATGTAATATTGGTGTCATATAAGAGATAAAAAAAGTTATTAATTTTGATATATTTTTGTAACAATCGGGATACAAATAAAAAAGTTATAGCATTTTAAAAAATATTTATTCTTTTAAAGTGAGTTATTATCATTTTATTTTATATATGTAATATTGGTGTCATATGAAAGATAATAAAAAATTATAAATGATGATATATTTTTTGTCCTGCGCTTGGCTTGCGTACTTCTCCCCTCAGCAATCGGCGGTAACTCAAGTTAAACTATAACATCATTTTCGGAATTATTTTTAACCTAACATTAATTTGGGAAATGTTTTTTTATTTGGTATCATTCTAGGAAAAAACTCTTAAATGTGATAAATATTTAATACCTAAATGAATTGTCAATAAAA